AGCAGATTCTGGATCAAGAAGACTTACCCTAAAGTTCCATCAGGTGGAACTATGGCACATCTCCTTCATGCCCCACAAACATCCCCCCTTTTAGCTGATGCACTCCCCACTACCCTCACGTGGCTATTTACTGGGCAGAGAAAGTCACCAGCTCCATTCCTATAGATGGGTGCACAGTCAGCACTTTCAGTGTCGTATTGCGTGGCGTCACTAGGGTTGGTGTCACCCCAGTGTGGCTCATGGTGTCACTCCCATGGCCACATTCCTTGCCAGCCGGAAAGTGGGGGGCAGCCATCATGGGAATGGGGGAACGTACGGGAATGTGTGTAATGCCACTCAACCACCCTCCACCAATGCTCTGATTCTCCACATGCATGAGTGTACACCCCTCCCAGCCACATTTCTTGGTTTGCTGGGGCAGTGGATCCTTCTCCCTCTGAACAAGAGCAGCCACAACAAATGCTGGCAGGACAAAAGCAGCAGAAACTCCCACAGAGGCACCTCAACATTCACTGATGGCCAGGATTTCTGCCAGCCTGCAAATAACTTTCTTGGGATGTGGTGTGCGTCAGGTAAAAACCACATAAGAAAAAGCAGAACCAGAACCAGAGAGAGCAGTCAATAGTGCTTCAATTCTCTTCCTGCAGGAGATGTCATAAAAGCATGTCTTTCAACAAATGGATTTTTCCAGTGTAACAAAGAGTCGCTTTTATCACCATCTCTCTCCAAAACACTATGAATCATGCAGAGAGGCACAGAGAAGGCCGCTTCTCTCTGGCTTCATTTCAACTTTGTTTTCTTGTGCAATATAGCTCTGGGTTTGGGACGCAAGGGAGGAGATGTGCTCTAGTTCCACTTGACAGAGCCTTACAGTACGCCTTTCTGATCCAGCGTCTTCTAACGTTCATAGCTTAAAGATAGCCATCTTTATCTGAAAGGATGCTATGAAGATGGAGCCAGCTTGTTTTCTGCTGCTCTAGAGACCAGAACATGAGTGAATAGATTCCAGTTACAAGAAAAGATATATCACTTAAACATTTGGAGGGCCTTCTGTTGGACTATACTGCCCCAGAAGGTGATGAACCCTCCACCTTTGGAGGTTTTTGAGCGGAGGTTGGATGAGCCTCTGTCAGGAGTACTGTAGTTGTGTATTCCTGCGTTGCATAGAGTTGAGCAAGGTGGCCTTTGCAGTCCCTTCCCAGACCAGACTGATTCTCAGCTATGGGAGGGCCTGTCCTGTGTCCCTCCTGGCAACCCTACTACACAAGGTGTAGTGTACCTTGTAAACATCACACACTCAAGACCTGGGACACTAGAGTGAAGGAAATGACTAGAGTTTGGGGAAATGCCTGATGCCTGGCAAAGAAGGCCCAAAATGCTGCTTTATTTTCCTGGCTAGCTTCAAGTCCTTGCAAAACAAGTCAGTAGTTTCTAAACACTTGATGGTCAAGATGCCCACAGTCCGCCTGCCCTCCTCAGATGGTTTGTTTTGCTCTCAGTGACAGACGCAACCTCCTTAAACTCCTGCTCCTTTGCTCCAGCGGTGCCTTTTCTCTCCTCCTTTCCTGGGCAGGGCCAAGGAAGAATGATACTGAGGAAAAATGAGCCTTTCTTTTGAGGTGTCATTCCCTGCTCCTTTGGTCCAAACTAGCTGCTAATTCCAACCCAAAGCCAAGATGTGATAGCAAGGCATTTTTCTCTGTTGTTCAGAGATTTCAGGGGCAGAAGGTTATCCTTTGGTCATCTCTAGTCCTCCTCCCTGAAAGAACGAACGAACAAACTCGATTGGGCATACAGATCTGTAGATAGTTTGAAATGTGGCTACCTACAGAATAAGGTACTCCTAGGATTCAGTATTTTGTTTGTCAGTTATTTTCTCCATGGGTTTCCATAGGGCTAGATCAGAGAACCTGAAAGTTCTCCATATCATAAGGGTAAACTTGATGCAACATCATAGTGCCATGCCTCAGGGCCCCTCATGTTACTAAATGTTGGCTATAAGAGGCAAGGTGAGATGGCATCACACCGTAGACCCTAAATATTTCCCCTAAATGGAGGAAGAAGGGGATTATGAGACTTCTGGAACATGAGTCGCTCTAGATCATAATGTCCGTGAGCATGGCCTCCCACAGCCTCCGAGGTTTTCTGGATGTGCCTGATGTCAAGAAGTAGAAAGAGTAGATCTTGTAGAAAGTATAATTTGCACACCGCTATGATAGAACACTAAAAGTTGATTTTATACAAGTCATCAACAGTTTGCAAAGTGAGTTTTATTTTTTTGTATTCCTTTAATCTTTACTTAAAAGGTGAATGTGTATTCCTCTGGGAGGAATGGCAAGAAAATAGGAATGTTAATAAATGTTTAAAAACAAAAACAGAACAAAAAAAGAAGAAGCCCAGAACACTTCCTCCCTTATTAATATATAACCCTTATGTATTTATACCTACTGTAAGCAAATGAAAAAGCTTGGATTTCCATTTTGTTGCATGCCAGCTATCGGCAAGAGAGCCTTCTGTTGTACATGCATGCATTTTAGCCCTGACTTTTCCTTTTCTCTTGTTTTCTTTTGGTTGGGGCGGGTGGGGAGAGGGTGCATTTTCCCCTGTATAAAATTAGTGCACAAAGAAATATTTTTGCCTAGTTATTGTTGCTAAGCAATGCATATTTTTTAAAAGAAAATTTGTCATATATGGAAAATAGCATGTTTGTTTACATGTATTCAGCTTCCTGAGTATACAGACGAAAGAGTTGGGCGCAAAAAAAAAAAGAGAACCCTTAACATTCAAGGATGCTGAAGTTTCTTTTGCAAGTGTACAGTTTTCAATTTGTCGTTCTTACTGGTGAAACCACCCTTGTGATTTCAACTTGCTACAACATATATTTATTATTCGTTCTCCTCCCATGTAACTAGGAATCATGCCTATGTTTCATATCAACCTTATATTGAAAGTGAAGGGAGATGATTAATACAAGATTTTGTAACACTGGTGACTGTTGGCTCTTTATTTGGACTCCTTCCATTTGTTTTGGTTTTGAGAGCGGAGTGGAAAGTGTTTGCTCCAAAAGCAAAGAAAGGTTCCTTGCTGAGGGGGACATGAGGCTTCGTAAAGTGGAAGGTCATAGAAAAAGGGATAAGACTGCATTGGTTCAGTGCAGGAGGCCACAACTGCCTTGACTTTGCAAGACCTGAGCAGAAGTGTTGGGGACCAAGATTCTTGGGTTGCTTAAGCTGAAGCCAACTTCACAGTAAATAGGACAACCGCACAACCTGCATATACAGTCGGCCCTCAACATTTGCGGATTTGGTTATCTGCAGATTTGATTAATATGTTCTCTCTAGGAATCTCTCAGACCTCCAGTGCAATTCTCCTGTAAGTTAACCCTAGAGTTTCACAAGATGACCTAGAGATTTTTAGAGCAAACACTTCTCTAGGCATTTATAGCTCCTCCAGTGTGAATCTGTGGTCAACCTCTGGCAGATGCCCTCAAGGATTTGGAGATTTGCCCTGGAGGACCTGGAGCTTCCTAGAAAGATGTTCTCTCAGGAAAAAATAAATAAATAGTGGTTTCTTATTTGCAGTTTTCCCACTTTCACGGGTGTCCTGTCCCCCTAACCCCAGTGAATGTGAAGGGCCAACTGTACAAGGAACATCCATGTAGAATACACATGTACAATATACATGCACATCATGGAGCAATGGAATTGGATGTGAAACTCAGCTTCTGGTGAGGTATTTAGGCTTCTTATCCAGACAGCATTAGTGCCTGCCAAAACTGCAAAGCCCAGGATTTTATAGGATGTTACAATGGCATTTATAGTGGAATCCTAGTCTTCCTGTGGTGTGAATGGGCCCCTCATTCCTTCCTGTGGGATCCTGGGATTTGCAGTTTAGGGACTTGTTCTTCATAAGGCTTGGTTCCAGCTCTGATCATCTTGGTCATCCTTTGGATACATTCCAAAGTATCCTCCTCAGTGTCCTAAAGGCCTAAAGCCAAGTCCCAACCAGAGCTGGGTCTGAGTTGGATTGAAGCTGGTGTCTATGCACCTTCAAATTGCCTGTTGACTTAAGGCGATCCCATGAATTTCACAGAGGTTTTTTAGGCAAGGAAGACTCGGAGGTGGTTTGCTATTGCCTTCCTCTGAAATATACCCTGCTGCACCAGGTATTCTCTGCTGGCCTCACTTCTAAGTAGCAACCAGACCTGACCCTATTTAGCTTCTGAGATCAGATGGGATCTGTTGCCTTCAGGGTTTTTAGGCCTCCTGCTTTAGGCTGGAGCTTGTTTTAACTTAATGGCCCCAATCCTGCTGTAATTTTATGGCATCAGTTCCAGTGTTTCCTCCCCTTCCCTTCTTGACACACCTTGCCCTCTGCATAGGGACCCATCCTGTCCTGCAAAGTGTCTGCGTGTTTGTGGAGACAGCGCAGGTTGAGCCACATGCGTGTCTGAAACACCAGTGGCTCCCAAAGTCAGAAAATGTCTACAGAAATCATTTTTTAAAAAGTAACGGTGCTGTGAGGTAGTACTAGTTTAGTACATGACTAGTACATCAATGTGTGACCCATCAGCTGTGCATTTCTATGTACCAGGAGTATGCAAACTAGGTGGTGCTTGGGGGTCCCTTCCAACTCAATGGCCTCAATCCAACATCCCTTTAGCATAGTGCAAATACTTACATGCAGATATATGCCGCAGTAGCAGTATGCAACACCCATGAAGTATAGCAACATCGTACAATACATCTCAGTGACTCGGTGCCGTCACGCAGTGCACAAACACAGTTGTATGGGATGCACAGCCACAATGGACAGCATGCAACTTGCAAAGACATGACACAGATGAGCATGCAGTCTGCACAACTGTTTCCACTGCTATCAGAATATGTCCCTTGCGCAATGGTGACTTTTTGGCCCTTGTACATACTGTGGCTAGCAGGTGTGTATGTCCATAAGTGAATTCCAGACCATGATTCCCTATTACAGCTGTATGTAACAGAACCAGTGTGACATAATGGTTTGAGTGTTGGACTACAACTCTGGAGACTCGGGTTTGAATCCCTGCTCTGCCATAAAACCCATTGGATGACTTTGCACAAGTCACATGCTCTCAGCCTCTGGGGAAGGCAATGGCAAACCACCTCTAAACAAATCTTGCCAAGAAAACCTCATGATAGGTTCACCTTAGGGTTGGCAACTAATAACAACAAATTGGAGGCACTACGCCTCTAAAACCAGCTAACAGAGAGCACAAGTGAAAGAATGCTGTTGTGTTCCTATCCTGGTTGAAGGCCCCTGACTGGTCACTGCACAAAGAGAATATGGGCATACATAGACCTTTGGTCTCATCCAGCAGAGCTACTGTGTTCAGAGCATCTAGTTATGGCCTTACTTTTTCCATCAGAGTCCTCCCAGTCACCTCCTGGTGACGGTGACCATCCAGATGTTCTTGGATTGCACATCCCATCAGGCATAACTGGCATTGCCAGTGGTGAAGGATGCTGAGAACTGTAGCCAAAGAACCTCAGAAGAGCCACAAAATCCCCAGCCTGTTCACTTCTAGACCTGCAATGCAACCCGACCCCTCAAACGCGAGAGAAACACTCTTTTCCTTCCAAAAACATGGTATTTTCCATGGATATGCATCATGACTGCTCTTTGGATTTGAAGGTAACGATGAGGTCTGCTAACTCTGTGTGTGTTTTAGTTATTTTGATGGAAGGCTGGAGCAAAGTCTTCCAAGGGAAATGAGGGAGACCTTGTTCTAAGCGGAGACAGGAGGACCCCCGCAATGGAAAAAGCACAGACTAAGTCCGCCTCCAACTGGAAGGAACCCCACAAAAAAATTTCATGGATGAGTCAGGAAATCGGAGAAGTTAGGTCATTTCCTCGCCTTCAACAGGCTCTTTATTCCATCCGATGTCAAAGAGATTCTCCTGTCCTTTCTGCATTTTGCAATCCTGAACAATTTTATTCTGAGGTGGCTCCTGAGGTGTGAGACAGTGTGGTGCAGTGGTTTGAGCATTGAACTACGACTACGAATTCCATTTCTCCCTGTTGAAATGTATTTTGTTAGTGAGGTAGGTGTGTCGTGAACATCCTGAGACAGTGTTCACACTTGTTGGCCACAATCACTACACGACTCCCATGAAGAACAGCAACATGTCAAAAAACTTGTCCATGTGCATAACATTACTGCAACCACATCTCCTTCTCCACTATGGTCAGCAGAATATAACTTTTGCCTTATGGCAAATAATTCGCCCCGCGTGCCTAGTGCACTTTTCACATGTGTATCTCACGAACAGAATATCTGCCATAGTGGACATAACAAGTAATGACCACCGCTCACGTTGCAATAGAAAATGGGGAATATCATTACTTAGTGAAGTTGGAATTATCCACGCCTTAGCATTTCTGATTTCTACATATGGTTGTGAAAGCTGGATGGTGAAGAAAGCTGGCAGGAAGAGAATCAAACTCATTTGAAATGTGCTGGAAGAGAGTTTTACAGATGCCATGGACAGGTAAAAAGATAAATGAATGGGTCTGAGAACAATGCAAACTTTCTTGCTTGTTGTTGTGTGCTTTCAAGTTGTTTCTGACTTAGGGCGAGCCTAAGGCAGACTTATCATGGGGTTTTCTTGATGAGATTTGTTCAGAGGAGGTTTGCCATTCCCTTTCCCTGAGGCTGAGAGAGTGTGACTTGCCCAAGGTCCTCCATTGGGTTTTATGGCTGAGCGGGGAATCAAACCCTGGTCTCCAGAATCATAGTCCAACAGTCAAACCACTGCACCACACTGGGCCATTATTATTATTATTATTATTATTATTATTATTATTACCCCCCTTTCCCCAAAAAATTGGGATTCAGAGTGGCTTACTGTCCAAAAACAGTACAGTTTTTACTGATAAAATTCCTTTTTAAACTACACAGTTATAGAGCACTCTGATTCCACTTTACCTGCCAGGGCTGTATCTTAGAGAAACCTAGGGTTTGTAGTTTGGTGAGGTACTAGAAATCGAGAGTACTAGTTTTCCCTGAAAAAAATCTCAATACTGCTCCCTAAATTGCAAATGAGAGCCGGCATGGCGTAATGTTTGAGCATTGGAACATGACTCCTGAGATCGGGGTTCGAATCCCCGCTTGGCCATGGAAACTCACTGTGTGATCTTGGATGAGTTACACACTCTCAGCCCCAGAGAACCCTTTGTTAGGATCACCTTAGACTTGCCATCAGTTGCAACAACACAACAACAAAACTGCAAATCCCAGGATTCCACAAAATGGAGCCCTGATGGTAGTTAAAGTGGAACCATAGTGCTATTATTGTGTAGTGTAACAGGGTCATGAGAATTCAAAGACATAGCCATGTTAGTCTGTAGAATCAGTATGCTGAGAGATCTTGTAGCAGCTTGGAATCTCACTGGAAAAAAAGAAGTTGGCAGCATGAACTTTCATAGACTTCAATCTACTTCCTCAGATGCATTTGGACCTGAAAGTTCAAGTCTCATCTGTTTTCAGATCCATTTATTTGTAGGCTGACCATGCACACCGTTTTAAACAGGACAGTACCATTTCCCCCCATATTTCCAGACCATCCCGTCATTTTAATGCAAATGTCAATTTTGTCCTGTTTTCAAGAAAAGCGCCTTGTTACATAGATTGCAAAAAAATGGTTTCAAGATCCCTGTTGGAAGCTGTGGTTGTCAAAACACAAATTGTGTCAGGGAGTGTGCGAAGTTTTATGGGAAGGTGTCGAAAGACCGAAATTTGCTGCGTAAGATTGCTTTCTTGGTAGGATCGGTTGCGGTGAAATCCAGTCCCCTTGCTTTACATCTACCTAGATTTTTGTATGAGTTCTGACACTGAAGGAGAATTGTTAGCTCAATATGTTCCTGTAATAAAACTTTTTGTTGTCGTCTTGCTTTTTCACAAATATCCCAATGTCCTGTTTTTGTCTCGAGGGAATCTGATCAGCCTATTTATTTGTCTTTTTATGAGAAACCATCTCAGTGAAGTAGGGAATTCTTTAATGTTGTCCTTGGTAAATGGTGCCATGGTAAAAGGACCAGGAGAGGGCACCACAGACCCATTTATGCAATTTATCTTCTTACCCATGCTACTATTTGGAATTTAAAAGGACTAAAACTGCAGGTTTGTTGTTGCTGTCCTTCTCCTTGTGTGCCTTCCAGTCCTTTCTGATTTATGGAGGCCCTAAGGCAGGGGTCGGCAACCTACGGCCCGGGGGCTGGATCCAGCTTCCCAAGGCCTTTGGACCGGCCCCAGGCTGGTCCTGCCGCCACCGCCGCCTCCCGCCACCCCACGCTGCCGCCGCGCACACATCTGCCGCCATTTTGTTTTCCAAAATGGTGGCCGTGACTCGTTTGCGCATGCGCCGAGTACTGCGCATGTGCAAGCAAGTTGCGGCCGCCATTTCGGAAAACAAAACACAGTACTCAGCACATGTGCAAACGAGTTGTGGCCACCATTTTGTTTTCCAAAATGGCAGCCGCGACTTGC